TCACTCCATATGTGGTATGATCAATTCTATATTTGGATTGTGCGGAAAAGCGGCAAACAAAAATAATTTTTAAAAATCCAGTTTTCAGTTGACTTGCTGTTAACTCCTTGAAATATTTGGTATATCGTAATTTGACCAACATGATGTTAACAACATTCTTTCAATTTTGCAGATAAACCAGTAATTGATAACCGYTTGTCATCTGGGAATAACGTATCTTCTATCTTGGGTGACACAATTCAATTACGGTGTGCTGCAAGAGGTGTCCCTCGGCCTAACATCACGTGGTATACAGCAAACGGGAAAATATTTTCAACTGAGACAACGTCGTCAGGTGGAAGCGATCTAGTACTGACAACCACGAGTAAACAAGATAGTTATGGGATGTATAGATGTCGCGCTGAGAATACTATTGGAGTTGCATGGCACAATATTACAGTGATGCAAATATGTAAATATTGATGACTTATTTATCTTTTACGCTTGCATTAAAATATATTAATTAGAAAAATATTGAATTAATTGACAACAAAGAATTATTGTCATCAGGAGCACCTTCACCATTAATATCGCCTTAACCATCCCCTTGATCGTCATTGTTACCATATCATCATCATATTCACCAACATCATTATCATCACAATTACCATTTCAACTTTCCGGTCTATTTCAAAATTTCAAAATTGTTTTGTTTCGTTTTTTTCGTTTCGTTTCGTTTTGTTGTTTCTTTTGCATGTTTGTTTTTGTTAATAACAGGTCAATGCAGAGGAAATTATCAAAAATACAAGAGATCCTTGGGCAGCAGCAGTAGCATCATTAACGGTATGCAGTAGACTTTCATTTATTATTTAAAGTTAACTTGTTTTTTTATTTTATTATTATAGTCTTAAGCGAACAGAAAAAATAAAAAAAAATAAGGAAAATAAGAAGCGGATGGAGAAAAACAGGTTTATTCAATTGAAAGATTATAGAACCATCTCAAAAGAGAAACAAGCCAAGACTATAAATCATCTTACATTTTGTAAGTTTGCTGGCCTGTGTTTCTTCATTTATTAACCTTTTTTTTCTTCTTCTTTTCTTTGCAGAACCGGTTATTTTCGTCATCTGGCTGACCGTAATACTTGTTTCAGGGATTGTAAACAKTCTTCTTYTTATCTATATTAAATTYGGAAAACACCAAAAGTGCAAAGGTAGGTTATGCTAGAAGACCGGGGAAAGGGGGAGGGACCGAAAATAGAACTTTCGTAGGTTCGATTAGCATTTTGCTGTGTTTACCGGCTCAGTTTCCGGACTTCATAATTGTTAACTTAATTTTAATTCATTATTCCCATGTAACAGGAGTCCCGAGAAACGAAATTCACTGTCAAAATAAACACTTTCAGCGAATTAAAGGTTAAGAAATATCTTAATCTAGAATATTTAACATCAGTTCAAAATATAAAATGGAGCTATCAATAATGATTATGATTATGTTTATAATAATGATAATGATGATGATATGTTAAAAATAGTTAATACTTATCATAATAATGTTTAACCATAATTATAAATCGAATACAGTAATAATTAGAAATTGATGCTAATAATCAATTACCAATTTACGCAATATCATAATTATAGTTTATATTAATCGACGATAATTAAAGTTAATCAAAAATAAGTATTTATGAATAATAATTCATTATTAATGACTGTAATTATTTGATAATAGTATGATTAATA